CTTCCCCCCCACCACTTTGGGTCCAACTCCACTCCCCGCTTCTCCTCCCTTCCCTCAGCCACTTCGGGTCTGACCCAACTCCACCCCCCCTCCCCTGCTGCTCCAGGTCTGACCCTATTCCCCACTCTGCCACTCCCTGTCTGCCTGCCTCCCCCGTGTTCTCCCTCCCTCCCTGCCTGCCTCCCCCCACCCCCATCCACTGTGCTGGGGTTGCTGCCACCGTGATGCCCTCCTTTGCCCTCAGATAGGGAGGAGTCGGGGGGAAGACCCACAGCTTGCATGGTTGGGGCATGTTCGCCACTGCCAAACTTTCCCAGCAGCAGCACAAACTTGTTCCCATTCAGCCCAGGCCATGCAGCCAGTCGCCACCCACCCTCTTGGCAGTGCATACACAGTTGGCCAGAAGTGTTATGGACAGACAGACAGACAGATAGACTAAGCCTTTTATTATATTAGAAGTACTAAATTTATTCCAGTTAATTCACTCTATATAGTATCATAACTGAGGGGGTGACCAGGGTAGCAGCCATAAGCACCTCTTTGGAGTCTGCAAAAATAGCTGCTGCCACAGTTGTGGCTGACCACATTGCTATGACTGGCACAGCACTGCTCCAGACCTCTGGGATGTTCCATATGCAAAGCTGCTACTGATGTACTGCATCAAATCCTATATAACAACTTATAAAATATAGTTAAAAAAAGATGCTGACCAGCTTTTGTGAGTAATAGATGCTTGCAAACTTGCTAAGCTGTTTGTGTCTCTAATTTTGTTAATTGATGCCTTGCTTAATAAGTGAGAAAGGGGAAGAAATAGCTGACTCCATCTGAGAAGCTGCAGAGGGATTTTAAATTCAAATTAGAACCAGAAGTAAAAAAAAACAAGACAAATGAACCTGTGTCTAGGGAAATGTGTGCCTACTACTCACTCTCACATTAGTCTTAATGTTGCTCTTTAGAAATTCTTCGCACATTTTCCCAAAACTATGACTGCTCAGAAAACAAGAATTCTATTTTTGTTAAAAATGTGAGCTTTTCACAATATCAGAACTAAAACTATATCTATTGCAGTTTTGTCATGAAAAAAATGACAAGAAGAGAGAGAAATCCACTCCATAATAGCCCGATGGCATTTGGGTCCTTATTTGTGATGTCACTCTCTAGTTTTGATTAGATATTCCATCCTGGCCCTGACATTTTTGTCAAAATCAATATATGTCTGTGAAAAATTGTGGTTGCAACCAACTATCATTTTCCCAACAGAAAAATGTATTTTGGAGAAACAATTCTAACCTGCTGTACTCAAAATATGGGATAAGATGCCATAAAGCATTCTAAGTCATTATGATGAAAGAAGCACCAGTGCTTTTCTTTTTTTGGAACATTTTCCATTCAGTTCTGACTCTGAGACCTAAACCAGTCTGCTCACCTGCAAGTTATATTTGGTGTACAATATTTAGTATAGCCATGTGAAATTCTGCTCATCTGCTTGCCTTGTACTTGATAATTTTTCTGTCATGTAAAATAGCACATTTTCACATTTGCCCCCCCTACCACCTGAAGGGTGGTTAAGGTAACTTTATGACTGTATGGTGATTTTTGCAAGGCAAGTCCAACCAATAGAGACTTTTCCAGAAGTCACACTTCAGCTCTGAAGTGCTGATTTTAACATACCATAATTCTTTCATCAGTATATAAATTGAGAGTGCTAGTATCATGAAGCTCATCCAGATATTGCAAGAAGTACTCTCTCCTTGACATGGTTTGTTTGATAAATAGGGTATATTCTCTTGTTCTCCATATATTATATTGCCCTAGAGCTTGCAACATGTGATTAGCCAAGAAATGCTGAATGGCCAAAAGATATGTTTCAACAAGTGATGGCTTACAGCAGGAATTTTATGCTCTTTCTGAGCAGTTTTACAGCTTTTTATGAGGAAATCAGAAAAGCCTGAAAATTATAGTCATTTTAGGCTTTATCTTGCAGCCTTTGACTTCTCTAGGACTGATGACGTGTAAAGGTTTCAAGATTGCATCATCTTTACAAACTTCAGATCAGTGAAGAGTCCAGCGCCCTCCTAAATGCCAGTACTTGCATCCAGACAGCTCTCTGTTGGCTAAATTTGTCAAGTGAGATGTAATATCTTTTACTGGACAACTTTGTAGTTGGCAGAGGTGTTAGATGTTAGGTCTCTGTTCAGCAAAAGCACCTAAGAATGCATTCCAGTCTCATTATGTCAGTGAGACGTCATGTCATTAAAGCAAAGCATACACAAAAGCACTCTGCTGATTCAGGTCCATAGATAACAAAATTTTACCCCACGTGCCCATGCATATTGACATTTGGACCTGCATTGTAATTATGAGAATATGAAGAAGTGAAGTCCAGCACAGAGCAGTTAAACTGAGACAAGGGATGCAATCTTAGGGTATGGACAGATGAACAAAGATAAGATATGTCAAGATGATAAACTCTTAGCAGGGAAGAAAAGAATCAAATGTGATTTATAATATATGGGTGTTTATCCTGTTGAGATTTTGAAAAAGTTGCAAAAATGTATACCCCAGTATAAACATTTATCATCTACACTTATACTATGTCTGCTAAAATTGGAAGGGATATTGATCCTCTCAGTTCAGTGTTGAAAATTAGTCAGGGTCAAAAAGAAATATCCCCTGTGCTTCAGTACTCAGGAAATAGGTATATTATAGATGTTTGTGTCTTCTTTTGGAACTTCAAATATTAATCATTCTTGGAGAAAATTATAACATAAAGTGGTCTGCCTGCTTGCCTGTCTTTTTTTCTTTTTATTTCATTAAATTTCTTGCATATTTGTTACATTATTTTGTGCAGTGCCATGTATGCATATAGTACTTTAGAGGCAAATGCAAGGAAACGAAGACTCTTTTTCAAGAGGTTTCCAGTTGAGCAGTGTATGGGCATTGAAAAGATGGTGGTAACATCAGACTACTTAGAATTTACATTGTGATGTTTTGACAAGCATTTTTTTAGTGTCCTGATTTTCTATTTGGTAATTTAAAGGCAAGAGATCTTCAGCAAGGGTTTTTATGAGTAAAATGTCAGTGATCTTTTAGGAAAACTGCTGGAAGAAAAGTGATGTAGCTAGTTTGATTGAACAGGGCATCTGCTCCAGATGCAGACTGTAATTCTGCATCCCAGTTTGTGCCCTTTATGCCACTCCAGACATTTCCGAGTCTCAGAAATATCACAAACACAGGAAATGTCTTGGTTGTAATAGCCCGGTTGCAAGGGCTTTATATCTACCCGTTGACTCTCATGTGGTATAGAGAGTACAACAGGAAGGATGAGGCCTGGTGGCAAGTGTGGCCCTTGTATCTGGGTTTTTTGATTGCCAATAAATTGAAAGATATATTGGTGGGGAACATTTACAGCTCTAGTGACAATATGGCATGGTCTGGTCTAGAAAAAACAACAATACCTGAAGTGTAAGCTCTGGTACTCCCCTTTCTTTCTCAGCATGTCCCCTATCACCAAGAATCTACAAAGAGGTTTTTTACAGAGCCCTTACAACAAAAGGGAGGGGATACCTGCATGCTGTAATAATGTAGAAAGCAGACAGCCAGTGGGTATGAAGAAGCATTTATAGGACTTGTTTTAGGTGTGCTTGGCTTACTTTAAGCTGCCTAAGCCTAAACTAGGAGTAGTGTATATAGGCGTTCACCACTGCCATGAGCAGCATTGGCAGCCCAAGTTAAGTAAATTGAGGGGGTAGGGGCTGGCAGGTCTGTGGCAGAGGTTGGTGGATCTATGGCTGGGACTGGGGGAGGGGAGGGCTAAAAATAGGCCGGTCAAACAGCACAGCCCTACAGCTGGGTTTAGTGGTTGGGATTTCCCAGCCCTGGAGCTGTGCTGTGAACAGGTACAGGCATTCACTAAAGCAGGTTAATTCATTTTAGATTGAGGTAATTTAGGTCACTTGAAAGTTAGTTCACCTCTAAGGTGAACTAATTTTAGATAGCGTGTATCAATTTTAGGATGATTTAAGCCCTCTCAATGCCTGCACATCAGGGCTTAAAACCTGCACACCTGGGCTTTAGATTGACTTAACTGTACATACCCAATGAGTACAGAAATAAAGCAAGGGAAAACTGGAGCTATGTGAGAAAAGGTCTGATGCAAATAAGAGTATAGCCCTATGTTAGATATACTTATCTCACAACCCATTCAAATATTTCTGCACCCAACACTATGGTCTGACTGTTAACTATAGCTATTGGATATCCAAGTGTAGAAGTATAGGTCTAGAGGAAAAGGCAAACAGTACCCCTAGTAGATACGATATCTTTTATTAGACCAACAAGGTTTTTTGCTAAAAATGTCTTTAATTGCAAGCTTTTGGGCATGAATACCCTTCATCAGGCATTGGAGAAAAGATTATAAAAGTTCTGCTGGGTAGAAATGAAAGTTCATATTTCATAGGATTTCACAGAGGAGTCAATAGGTGGAAAACTCCTCTGGGTTTTGTTTCATTGTCTGTTGCATATGCAAATACAGTTGCATCACTTATTAACATATAGGTGTATTAAACATAGATTCTTGCACTGTTTTTACTACATCCACTGTGTTGCCAATTTCCCTGGATAAAAGAACTGCATAGCTGCAGAATTTACAGAACAACTGAATAACAAATACCCTCACAGACTGAGAATTAGTATTATAGAATTAGACACTTAAATTAACACATCTGAAGCACACAGACTTAGTGTAGTTTGCAAAGTCTTCCTCTGAAAATGCTCTCATGTGATGATACTGTAATAAAAGTCTGCTGATGATAAATACCAGAAAAGAGCTAAGGCTGGTTTCTGCAGCACAGATGGCTAATTGACTTCACTAGGTTGGTTATGTCACTTTAATTAAATTTTATTAGGCAGAATTTCAAAGCCATCATTGATGGCTTAAGATAAATATGCTTCTTCATAGATGACCTGTTGCTAACCTTTATTTACTTTTCTCCCCACAGTCTTAATAGAGAACATTGTGACAGAGCTGTCTGCAGCCATCTCCCACCTCATCTATATTTACAGCAGAAGCTTTGATACAAATTTTCAGCCTGCAATAATCCCTAGCAGCCCTGTGTGTGCTGATGTCAACCTGGATTCCCACCTTGGCTTCATTATTTATGCAGCCCATAACATCCCCGAAGCCTGGGTGAAAAGGTAAGAGGTGTTAATAGTATCCCTAAAAAGAGGTCCTGCATCCTCAGATGACCATCAGATGACCTCCTGAGATCTCTTCCAACCATAATGTTCTATAATTTTATGTTGGGGATGGTTCTACTTTGAGCAGGAGGTTGGACTACATGACCTTCTGAGGTTCCTTCCAACCCTAATTTTCTATGATTCTATGATCCTCAATCCCTTATAGTGGTTGCTGCACCCAAGAAAGATCTTTTGTGATGCCACCAGAATAGCTTGGGTTAAGTTTAAATCTAGTTTGAGAAAGAAAATTGCCCTGCAGCAAGGACTGTACAGGATTGTCCTCAGGGCCCCTCAAGAAGCGGGCCTGGGACAGCCACCCCACTCGCCCATCCCTAGGGACAGCCCTGGCCAAAGGCTAGGAATAAATATGAATATGGTTCTAGGACTGTGAACAACTCTGGGCTGAACCCTTTTTAATGGAGCCAATGAGA